CAAGAAGATAAAAACAAATTGAGAAATGGAGATTGAATGTACGTCAATGTTTGGAAATGAGCTACGAGATATGTATATGCATTCATGCAATGAAAGAGGTGAGATAGAAAGATTTTTAATTTATATTTAAAAATAGGATAAAGTGTAAATTTAATAATGAACTATTTTTTCAAAAACACTGAATAACATATACTATCAGATGGTATAAACTGAAACATAACTATTTAAAACAGAGCACCTAGCACCTACCATTAATTTGATCAAACGGACACTAATTTCTTTGTGGAACTAAGTCCCAACTCTAGTTTTGTTTTGAAAGACAAAGAGAAGTATAAAACAGCTCTAGCCATGAATAATGCTGTCCTTTCATCGAGCCACAGCAGCAATATCACATTCAGAATACAAAAATTGGACCCAAAAAAATCTTTCTATTTGTTTTTCTTTCTGCCAACGTCAAACTTTTTGGAGAAACTACGTACGCATAAGTAAATCTATGTACGTAGGTTGGTATCTTTCTTAATAATGTAAATCGTAGTTTCTGTGAGAGATTCACGGCGACTTTTCGTCTGAGGAAGAAAGAGATATTGACATGGGCATATATAGTAATATTCCGAGAATTCTATGACAGAAGGTCTTGTCTTAATCTTGGAGAGAACGTTCATTTCACGATCCAAATTCCAACTCGAGCTTTCGGAGAAACCAATATGCATGTGATTCCGGCCCCCCATTTGTGGGTATCAATTTCAACTATAGATCTTGATAGTTATACATGTACATATATATCCAATATTATTTTAAGCAGGTCTCATAGTTTATGACCCAAATAATAATAATAATAATAATAATAATTGAAACAGGGTATTTTTTTCCAATATCAGTTATTGGGATATAAGGTTTTTATATTGTGGTTATAACTAACCTAGCCTTTCGATATTTTTTCAACATTTTTTTTAAAAATACATAAAGTTTTTTAAAAATAAATTATTAGTTAAAAATAATTCAATAATCGCATAAGTATATATCAATTTTATATATTTCTCAAAAACGAACAAAAGTAAGATTAAAAATTTTATATATATATATATACACACATATAAACTAAATTCACTTTTCACCATTCATTATTGGTGTTATTATTAATTCCTTACCAATTTACAATATTAATGAATAAAATTTTACTTTTTATTATACATACAAATATCATTTTTCTTCTGATGAAATTTGGAAGGATATAAGAGTAAACTTAAAAAAAATTATCAACTAATCAAGATTGAGTCTAGCATATAGAAAGAGTTTATACCTCACAATATGGTAAAAAGAAATTGAATATCTGCGAGGAGATGTAAGTAAAAGTCACCTGCCAAAGATCCGTAGTTTACACTAATAGACTAATGGTGTTGCAATTTCATGGATTTGAATTCGATGCCTGCCCTTGATATAGGCATTGAGTACTTGTTCTATTTAAATTGTTGAAATTTAGATAAATAATTTAATTAAATTTATTATTTATTAATTTTGAGTGAAATATAAATTTTAAAGTTGATATAAATTTTAACGGTTCAAATGATCTAACATTCAATGTCTATATTAATTAAAGATAGGCACTGAATCTAAATCCCCAATTTCATCATCATCTTCTTCGCCTATAATTCTCCGTGATCATAATTTTCTCCAAGGTTGAAACTTCCATGCATGTCCTTGTATGCTTCCATGGAACGCGCTAGTTTTTGCGTTAACTTAGGTCGAGATGCATACGAAGGATCGGCATGGGCCACGCGTCAATATCTCATTCAATGACAAATTGACTAGTTAATTGTTCACATATTTTGTTGGTATGTGTGTGCGTGCGTGTATGCTGAAAAATCAAAACATCGTCTTCTTGAACATACGTTTGATGAAATCCAAGGCACACTAACTAAATTTTCGGGGGGAAATGTTCTGAAGAAACTATTTGTTTCTATTTATCCGGCCTCTAGAAAGTTCATAATAATATTGATCACTATTTTCTCGATCAATTATATGATCTTATCTAAACTACGTTGCTAGAATTCATAAAGTCTAAAAAACATCATTATTAAAATAAATTAAAGGCATATTAAATTTAAAAAAAGGATTAATTTTAACATTTTAATTTGTTACAACAGTATAAGTTCAAAGGAAAAACTCATTTCAAAAAAATAATTTATTTTTTTAAAAAATATTTTACGTATAAACCACACTTATCTATCTCCAACGTGAGACTCATAATATAGTTACATTTACCCCTTCTGTGAGGTCAATTCTTAACCCTTATATGGTGTGTACTTAGTGAGGATACGTTTACTTTTTATAATATAATTATAACACTCTTTAATTTTTGATGTTAGCACTTTTTAATTTAAAATTAATTAATTCTAGCATATCAATTGTATTTAGAGGAACTAATTTTGAAAGAGTAAAAACTATTTCTAATAAATTTTAATAGAATATATGGGATTTAGAATAATTTCGCATTGCCAATATTTTTCTATATATAGTCGCATCCTATCTTCCATCTTCACCACCAAAACCTCCTCATATATCACTTACGGATGATTTTACTTTGGTTATTTAAATGATCAGGTTTGATGGTTCGCTCATTAACCATGTTTTTTAAGGATTTGGTTTACAAAATCAAAATTTTTAGGATAACTAGATTTATATGCCTTGCTCTATTAAACCTTGAAAAAACATGCTTGAGTTCAGGCGTCTTATTTAGGTCTTTTTTCATTTTTTTAAAAAATAAAATATATTTAATTTTTAAATTAAATTTAGGCTTCAAAATATATGTTTATATTTTAAATTAGAATTTATATTTCTTGTTTTTAATTTTTGAATATTATAATTTGTATTTTAAAAAATATAATATTATAATATAAAAAATAAATTTTCAAAAATAAAAAATTTGAAAATAAAAAATTTACAGGCGTCCAACCCCAATTTTAAAAATATAAATCAAACTTGAAAAAATGACCAATTTTATGGCTGTGTGAATGTGATGGATTGTGCTGTTGAAAGACAAAGAGGTACTCTATCTTTCTTGCTTCGTTTCCATCCTGTAGATAACCTAGGGATATCTTTAATATATTTATTTAATACAATAGTATATCTTATGATTTAAACTTGAGATTTTAAGGTAAATTAATTAACATTTTTAACTAGTTGAACCAAGCTACTTGGTCGGTTTTCTTTTCTTTGACTTGTTCAATTTCAAAATTTTAGATTTTGTCAATCTAGGTTTCTAAACCCTAATGGATTTGAAGAAGCATTCGTGCTCATCACCTGATGAGCAATTTCTGAACAATCCAGATTTATCACTTTATTTTTAATATTTTAATATATATTTATTAAATTATAAAATATAAAATTTTAATAAATATATTTATTATCAATCTGAACAACATAGATTTAATCTGAGCGATCCAATTTAATATTAATTTTTTTAAAAAAATTAAAAATCAACTATCCATATATATTTTGTATCCAATCTGTCTAAAGCACTTTTGAATAATTAATTTATAATTTTTTTAAAAAATAATATTAAATTGAACTACTCAAATTAAATATACATTATTTAGATTGATAAAAAAATAAATTTATTAAAATTTTATATTTTTTTATAATAAATATAAAATAAAATTAAAAAAATAAATTTTATAAAATTTGGATAATCCATGTTAAAAATTTAAATGATCTAATGCTCGTCAGGCAATGAGCACTGAAACCGAACTCTACGAAGAAGAAGTGACAGTGCTTGGGGTTGCGTAATTCACACCACCGGCGCAAGGAAGATTAAAAAATTGCAAGTGTCAATTACTATAAGATGCTGCATCGGAAATTTCCCATACCGTTATTGAAGTTGGTTTGATTTGATGGAAAATGGAGCTCAAGACTTTGTCAAAACTTGACCCAACCTGTCTTATCCATTTTACAGTCGTAGTCTTCCCACCGGAGAATGATTAGACCAACCGATTAACAGTTTAGTCGATTAAAAAAAAACTTATTTGAAAAGTTAGGTTGGATTAGATAGTTAGAAATCAGATGGATCAAAAAATGATCTTTTTTTTTTTTTAAAAAGTAATTTATTTTTTAATCATTTAATATTATATCATATTATCTAACATCATAATAAATTTAAAATATTTAATTTTATTTTTAAGATATGTAATAATTTTATATTCATTTCTTATATTTAAATTATTATTATATATATATTTATATATAATTTTTTTAATTTAATTATTATATTATCGATTCAATCTTAAATCATGTAAATCATGAATCATTAACTTTTTTAATTTAATATTTAGTTTGGTTATGAAAATATTGCCGTCAACGTTCATTACAATGATCGAGAAGGGTACGAAATAAATTAAAAAAAAAAAATGCCGATGGTCCTATCCGTTATGCCAAAGTCACACCTAGACTTGGACTTTTAAGTAATAGAAAGACTTTGATTTGATTCACCAAAAAAAAAAAGAAAAGAAAAAAGAAAGACTTTGATTTGCTTCTTTGCTTTTGCACTACAGTTCTCTAAGATTGGTCACGCTATGCTTGGACATTTCATACAAGGGGTTACGTTTGTGTTTAATATGTATTTTCATTTGTATCGGACACAAAGCATCTGAATACTTACAATTTTATCATATGACTAAATTTGCGTGGGTGTAATATTTGTTAGACTTTCATCTAACAAACTACAGCCCTGGTTGGCTGGTTATGATCGATATAATAATGCTAAATTTATAACAATCAACGCGTTTTAATTGTTTATTATTGTCAGGGACCCACAGGAACTTCTATCTAACTGCTACGTAGGTTAGGGTATGAAGTTTTCAACCTTTTTTATTTTTTATTTTTAATGAGGGTTGAAAACATTGGCACAGAAAGCCAGAGTTAAGAATTGATCAATGGTCCTCTCCGATTGAGAAATTAAAAATTACAGAAAACAAAGAGCTTACTTTCCAATTCATGTCCAGCTCATTGATCCTATAGATTTAGAGTTTCTTACATGCTTAAGATCTGGATCTTCAAATCTTTCATCTCTGAGAGTTTGCTGATAACAAATACCATTTTGAATTCAAGAATTTTGCAAATGAACCCCGTTTCAGTTTCTTCATTTTCGGTTATAGAAGTGGCTCCTAAGACAAGATCTTTCTGTTTTCTTCTCTGCTTTTTCTTGCTATTGGCCTGTCTCTTCACAACAGGCCATGGTTCTGAGAGTGATATCCATTGCTTGAGATCCATTAAACAGTCAATTGATCCATTTAATCAGTTGTTTGACTGGGATTTCAACAGAAATACCAAAGGGTACTTTTGTGGATTCACTGGTGTTGAGTGCACGATCATTGGTGAACATAGAGTATCAGGTCTTCAGCTTTCTAATATGTGGCTTAAAGGATCATTCCCTCATGGCATTGAAAATTGTTCAGTACTGCAGACACTTGACCTTTCCACAAATCAAATTTCAGGTGAAATTCCGAAGGGTGTTGCCAAATTATATTCGCTGATGACCCTTAAACTTGATGGAAACCAGCTATCTGGTGAAATCCCTCAAGAAATTGGGTTGCTTCCTCAAATCAAATCTTTCAATGTTGCCAACAATTTTTTGTCAGGGCAAGTGCCAGTGTTTACCAGAAGTCCTCAAGTTAGCTTGAGTTATGCCAATAATAGTGGTCTTTGTGGGCATACTCTAGAACCATGTGAAAACAAATCTTCTGATAGATCATTTTGGTATAGTTTTGCTATTGCTTATGTTTGTTCAGCAACATCAGCCATAGTTTCTTTTATGTACTATTACCAACCTTGGAGAGACTTGAAGAAAAGGAGGAGAAATGCTATATCTTTTCAAAGAAAGAGACAGAATAATCAACCTCGTACTACAGAGGTTGCCGAGTTGCTGCCATTGGCATTGCAAGAGCATGGAACCAAAGAGGTAATCTTGGTCTCTCTTGCCTCCCTCTTGCAATTTCTATGCTCAAGTGTTTATCTCATTAGAAATTTTTATGTTCTAATAAGATTCTGACAATATTTTATGTTGAAAGGATTGGTAGGTGGACTGTGCTTTTTTCTCTGTTATTACTGATGCTAATCACTTTTTCTGCCATTGGTTTAAATGTGTCCTTCAACTTTTTTGATCTGTTCTTTTGCCATTAAACCACCATCTGCTATTTTGATAAATATAAGCAACAGAATAATCGTGGGAATGTTGAAACAAGGAAGGATCCCTTTGTGAGAACTTCAAAAATTTGTTCATTTATATCTTGAATGGTCTCATACTGTTCTGTGGCTGCTGATGAGTTCTAAGTAATGACATTGAAAGACTCAAATTGTTCACGGAATAATTGAAATTTGCTTCCAAATTTGAATAATAAAACTATTTGTCATATTAGCAGTCATACCATCATTCCTATATAAAGTAGAGTTGAAAATGGCAGAGTAATTACGTGGTAGCCAAACAAATCATACGGAGTTAAATAACATATTATATCAAATCAGGCAAACCAATTGTCCACCAAATCAGAGAAAGTAATCTATAAAGTAGATGCAGCAATTTTCAAATTTTGTTGCATTCCTTGCTAATGCATTTTGATTCTGTGACAATTCAACCACAGCTCTCAGCATTGTTGGAGAGGTTGATTTCTAGAATAAGCTTTGGAGAATTATGTGAAGCAACAAATTATTTCAGCACGGACAACGTCCTAGGCTTTGGAGCGAGAGGGATCGTGTACAAGGCCAAGCTACCAAACAACTATTTCATGGCAGTTAAAAGACTCTATGATTCTCAACTGTACAAGAGAGAGTTCTTGTTAGAAACGATGATCTCAGCTGGATACAGACACCAAAACATAGTCCCACTGCTTGGATTCTGTCTGGATAAAAGGGAAAGGATTCTGGTTTATGAATACATGTCAAATGGAAAGCTCCAAGATTGGCTACAATCTGATGGACCTCAACCTATGGTATTTGAATGGTCTGTGAGGGTTTATATTGCTCTTGGACTAGCCAGAGGCTTGTCTTGGCTTCACAAGAAGTGCAAAATAGTCCATCTCAATCTGAGTTCTGAGTGTGTTCTGCTCAGCAAAGATTTCGAACCCAAAATTTCCAACTTTGGCAAGGCAAAATTCATCAATCATACTAACGATCGTTTGAGGACAAAGCTGCTTATGATAAATGGACTTGGGCAGAAGGGTTCTGTGGAGAAGGATGTATACAGCTTTGGGATTATCCTTTTTGAGCTCATAACAGGGAAGAGATTGAGTGCAACCACTGATTCTTCTGACAGTGTTGGCAGCAGCTCTTTGATGAAATTGATCAGTAGTAACTTGTTCAGTGGTCCTTACGATTTTTACAATGTCATTGATAAATCTCTTATTGGAAAAGGATTTGATGAGAAAATCTTTGGTCTCATTGAAGTAGCACGTGACTGTATTAAGCCTTCTCTGGCTCAGAGACCAAAGATGGCTGATGCGTACAAAAGAATGAGAGCTTTGTGGGAGGGATATGGACCCACGTACTATTCTGGAAGTCTAAAGCCATCTACGATTTATCCTATTGAGGTAACACGTGAAAACGAAATTGAATGCATTGACTGAGTTGTAAATTTAATTTTTGTTTTAATTAAGTCACATTTACAATGTCTAGAATTAGGGATAGGCATTATTCCCTGTCTTCTCAACTTTGTACCATCCATAATAGCTTATTCTAATGATCCTTGTGCATATATATGCAGCAAAAGTTAGTCTGTTGTAATTCTTATAAATGCAAATTAATGCTGTAATCTTCACCCTTTTCAAATTTACAAGTGACTGAGTTCAATCACTTGCCATATCAAATAGGAGAGATGCTTGAAATGGGCAGAGATAAGATGGACATGAGTAATAATATTTGTGATATGAGACTGATATGTAGTGATGACAGATTAGTTAATGCAAGTTGACAGTTGGTCTCACTTCTCTCTTTTCTTTCGTCCTTTGTATTCTTTCATTCCAATTTGTCTGGCCACATATTACGCCAAATATGAATAGTTTTGTCTTTGCTGGTGATTAGAAGTAAGATATATCCCTATGTGACAATTACAAATAAGAATAGGCTATTTATCATATCTCTTTGCTTCAAGATATAAACCATGGAGAATTTCACTATAGGACCACTAAGGCTAGATAAGTTCACAAAAGAATCAATAAATTCTGATATAGTTATGTGGTGATTGTATTTGGGAACTCAAATGAAATCAATTCCTGTTAGAAAATTACCTAGTTACCCCTAGAAGTGAAATGGAAAAAGTAACGTCAAAGAAAAACCTCTAGACTGAAAAATAAATTCATCATCCCAACCATTATTCTCTTTCATGGTCGGACTCCATTTTTGGGAAGGCCCTTTGGAATTGATTATTGAGTAAAGTTGAAGCTGCTCTTCAATCGAAATCAAAGGCACCTGACGCTTGCGCATTTGTTTCACTGGTTGAACGTGTTTTGAGTGAATCACCGAAGGTCCTGAAGTTTCTCCACCACTTCAGCCGCAATCACCCATTACTCATTGTTAAAGCTGTTGAAGTTCTCAAAGGAAAATGTGCAGACAATTTTGTAAGCTCATTCTTTTTTCCCTCTTTGGGTAAATCGTTTCTGTGATTTCCCCCTCTTCGTTGTGATTTTTCCCTTTGTTGTGTGTCTTTGTTTTTCAAATGTTGCTTCTCTGTTATCTGTGTTTTGAAATACTCACTTGATTTAGAAGAATGAAAAAGTTGTGGTTGGTGAATAACAAGTGGTATTAGAAAATTTACTTCTTGATTATACTAATTTGACAACCTAGATGTCTGCTTTTTTGCTGGTAAATTGTTGTTAGACTATATGAATAAGTATGGTAACTACAATTTACATTATCAGAAATCATAATTACAAGTAGCTATGCTAAATTAACATGCACAATTATTGAAAGAATTATTGTAGACTTGTTAACAAATGAAATTGGATGATTGACAAGTTGCGTAAAAAATTTACAAGTAACTCTAGTTTATTAGTAAGATGCTTAATGTTAATTTTAGAGGGCCAAAAATATGGTCAAGAAGAAAGAAGGACAAAAGTAAAGAAAGAACAAGTAACAGGATTCAAAAAATTTAGAAAAGAATTTTATGAAAAGAATAAATGAATGTTTAAAAGTTTTGAAGTTGTTGTTGATGGCGTGAGAAAAGCATGGCAGAAAATGAGTTCCACTCTCAATTTAATGTTATGTTAAGTAAATTGGTATAAATATTGACCACATGAATGTTCATCATGCAGGATGAGCTATCTGCATTAAGGATTGACTTGTTTTAGTGGACAATAGATCATCTATATAATTCAAGATTTGCATCCATCCATTCACTAATATCAACTAGGTAGTCAGCACCAAAAAAGCATCATATATGAATTTGCATAATGGATGTTACACAAGCAACATCTTAGATTTAACAAGCAAATGTAATGAAAATTACAAGTCATATTAAATATTGTACTTTTGAAGTTAGTCATTTAATGAGTCATGTATGAATTTACACAAGATAAGTATTTGACAAGTAACATCACGGATGTAAAAAACAATGCAAGAAAATTTATAAGTCTTATTAGATATTTAACTTGTAAAGCTAGCCCTTTAATTAGCTATATTTGGATTTACATTGGTTAAGTATTTGAAAAGTAATATTATGGATTTAATAAGCAAAGTAAGGAAATTTACAAGTTATATTAAATAGTATACTTGTAAAGTTGGTCATTTAATGAGCCATATTTTGATTTACACAAGTCAAATATTGTACAAATAACATTCCGAACATAACAAGCGTAGTAAGGACATTTATAAGTAAGATTACACAATTTACAAGTGAAATTAAGTTTATGATGTGACTTGTCAATTATATAAACTTTGTAAAATCCAATGATTACAATTTGTTAAATACCTTACATTATTTGTAAACTTCTTAATATAACTTGTTAATTTTCTTGTGCTACTTGTTATAAGTTTATAATGTTGCTTATTGAGAAGTAGGAGTTAACGATCATAACAATAAAAACTACATGAACCATAGTCGGAATCGTTTGTCAAAAAGTGGCCACTCATGATAATTAACAATCATTATTAATATTTTAATAAGTAAGGACACATAAATAACAACAACATGAATTCAAAGAGAATCACATGTTTAGACTTGATAGCATGAGATCAAATATCCTCATGAAATTGAACATCCATTTAAATCAAAATATTTGACATACTCACGAAGTTGCAACTCATTAAAATATACATACATACATACATACATATATATATATATATATATATATGGGATATGTACATGTACATAAAAGCTGCTTTACTTATATGGGTTGTTTTACTTACATGAATTGATGGGACTTTTACTTGTTAATTCATCAACAAGATTTGATAATTATTTAACTTATTAAATTCGTGATTCTTTTAACTGAACTATATTATTTGTTAATCACAACACTTTTATTTTTTAATTTCTCAGCAAGATCGACTTAGCTTGTTAATTATTTAATTTTACTTGTTAAATCCATAAACCCCCTCAATTTAACTACATTACTTATTAATCATGTAACTTTTATTTGTTATAATATTTCAACATAACTTATTAATCACTTAACTTTACTATTAAATCTATTATTCCTTCAATGTGAATTATGTTACGCATTAATTTTTTAACTTTACTTGTTAATTTTGCAACAGGACTTGTTAACTACTTAACTTTACTCGTTAATCTTTGATTCCTTAAACTCAACAACATTGTTAGCTAATTTTCTAACTTGCTAATTTCACAACAACACTTCACTGTGATTTTTTTAATGTTTAAAAGGTTATTTGGATCTTTTTATCATTGAGATTAATTTCATTTCAGTCCTCTTGGATTTATGTGAGATTTCATAGGCCTCATTTGTGATTATGTCACATCCCTAGTCATATATTGAAATTCTCCCTATAACTACATTTGAGATGTACTTTTGCCAAATTCAACAAATGGTTGCTTCTCTCAAATGGACTTTTGGGGGATGTAAGTTAAAAACCAAACATGCACCCAATATGTATAGTAGGGGATGTAGAAAGCATTACTATATGCATGGTGATAAAAAAAGTTATGATATTATATAGATAAAAATTATTTTACTCTAATAAAAATTTAGAAAATGATTTCTTTTTTGTTTGGTTTCACTCTAGTATCCAAAATATTACAGCTTGTGGTTGTGGGTATTTTTTTAAAAGGCATATCTCCCATTGAGAATATAAACCAATCTTTGCAAATTTTTATATTTATTGCCTTCAATTTGTTCCCTTGATCATGTGAAGCTACAAGGGCATGTCTTATGCTCGCTTAGACCCAGAGACCCTTGAATCTACATATCTCAGGGTATATTGATTCAGATAAGGCTTTAACATCTCTCCTAGAAAACTTAGGCCACTTTAGGATCCTCAATCACTTGATACTTCAACTCATTTATCTTTAAATGTAGTGACATGAGCTCACACTTATAGATTGTGGTCGAATTCTTTTTGATATGTAGGTTCCTCAAAGAGGCAGGTGCAGAGCATATTTAAATATTGATATGATAGAAATAAGATATTATCGAACTAAGCTTTCAAGAGAGAAGGGAGAGTTTAGAAGAGAAGCATGATAGAGAAAACACTAATTTTATTTCTTCAAATAAGTACTGAACAAGTTATGCCTTACAACATAAATGACACTCCCTTTTATAAGAGAAGGGGGCATACTAGTAATTTTAAATTATGACACTCATACATGCTTTTTCAAAAGTAAAGTTAAATATGACAAAAAGTAAAAGTAAAAATAACTTTACTAAAGTTGATTTGATTGAAGTAAATTACTTTATCAAAAAGCAAAAGTTACTTTTGATAAAGGTGACTCAAATGTAAAGATGTCAATCTTTATTAAAGCAAAAGCAAATTTCTCATGTGATTGATGATAAGATTCCAATTACCTCATGCTTTTGTATATTCACTCTTGATTAGGCGTTAGATTAAGGAATCTTTTTCTTCTTTTTTGAACCACTAGGTCAAAAGTCATTCTACTTGTTCTTCATTGAAGTCTTCATTCGTATCCTCTTATTCTTCAAATGGTCTAAATGTAAGAAAGTCTTTTGTTGAGAACTGTCGGTAGCAATAGGACTCAAGCTTATAAAGGTCTTGACTATTTGGAAGAAGGGGGCTTAAAGGAGTCTTTGGATTTTGAGAAGATGGTGGTCCACATAAATCCATCCATGTTAAATAACCTTGTTAAACAACAATGCTAGCAAGCCATTTTGGGTATTGGTATTGTACAAATGGTGATAGATCATAAGGAATAACATGATGAGGAATAGGACCAAGAAATGTGCATCTAATGTTAGGATATGTGCTTAGAAAATTGTTCATTTCACATAAAAAATCTTTTAACTCAAATAAAACCAATTCTTTATGTGATGGCCAATTAATTAAAGTTTTTCAAAGCAAGCTTGGTTGGAAATATAGAGTTTTCCATGGCTATCTAGATTATAGAGGTGATGAATAACAAAGAAGGAGTAAGCCTTTTATTGATTCAATATCTTCCATAGGCCATAGTTTTCAATTACCTTAGAGAGTTTCTTACACCAACGGGGTAATGGTGAAAACCATTCAAGAAAGTTTCAAAGATTAGAACCTTTATTAGCAGAGTCATAAAGGTAATGATAAATAATTAAAGGAGGAAAAGCTAATGCGCATGCATAAAAAGTTGAGAAGGACTAGAGATACCATATGGCTTCATCTGATATAAGGCCTCTAATGTAGGGTATGGGGTTTGAACATCAACGAATTTAAGTTGTGGCTAAATCTGGATTTTTTGTAAGAGAAGATAGAGCCAAAAGAACAAACTTCTTTTAACTG